AAGAAGGAATTTCAGTACCACCAGTCTAGAAAATAACATCAGCTTCAATTTTCTGCTGTCTGATTGTTGATGAAACTGTGAAAACCCTTTCGTTTTGATTGGTAACTTCCAGCTGAATCTCACAGAAATCAAGTATGAGGAGGCAGCGAAACCCAGGTTCAAAATGAGAGTCCAGGGGAAAAATGGATGGAAGGATCAAACTTGTAATTATGGTTGAAAATGTCAATATCAATGTTTATAAAAAGTAATACTATTTAACCACACTGGGTCTACGTGGTGCTAACGTAACATTAAATAATAAGTTAAATGCGGCGCGACACTATGCTTGTGTTTGGCCCGGTTAAAATGCATTTCATTCTTTTTCCTGCCATTTTTCAACCCCCATTTTTTGACAAATGTGGGGCTCATATCTGTGACTTTCACATCACTTGGTAGTAATAAATTTCTTTCAACTGGACCGTTGAGGTAGCTAGACAAAAACACCCTTCCAATATAAATGACAGAAGATAAGATTACCCTTCATTTAATCACCATCATCCTCATTTCCATTGTCTTTTCTTCCAAACTTATTCCCCTCAGCAACACAGCAAGTTGCCGGCTGAAATAAAAAGAAACAAAACCACACACAGTCTTCTCCGACCAAAAAACTAGACTAACTCGTGATGGGCGACGACATATCGCAATGGAGCTACTATCCACACACCACGGTAAGCTTCTATCCTTGAGAGTGAAATATCTTATTAGTTGTTTTGTAGATCTCGTGTTCAGTATAATGTTATAAAGGCTTCATTCTTTTTTATTTTACTGCCATTTGGGACTTTTTACGGCATTTTGTTTATCAATGTGTTGTTGTTTTCTAGAACTTCATGACTCCGGTGATTGACCCTTCGCTCCAACAAGAAGACAGAAACGCACAAGTCTGCAAGGTGGGATACCCGAGAACACCAAATTTTCATCTCTGTGGTAGAGCACGTAACTGTTGAAGGACATCATTGGGGAAAGTATTTCTCGACTACCGGCTGGGAACAAATCCATGATTTGTTCAACCAACAAGCTGGGAAGGATTGGACAATCGCTCAGTTGAAGAACCACTGGGGAGTTATGCGAACGGAACACAAGTTGTTGTTCGAGTTGCTCCGAAGAATCGGATTCAGTACGGTCTGAGAAACAGGGCAGAATGAAGTGGCGGATTGGTGGTGGGACATGAAATTGAAGGTAAATTGATCTGCAGGTGTACGTTCTTCCCTGTTACTCGCTTCCATAAGAATTCTCCAATAACAATGGTAATGCATGATGGTATCTACAATTTTTGGATAAACGAACATTGAAATTAATGAAGGTTTTGCATTGATATTTACCTTTTTTTGGTACAAACAACTTTGAATTTTGGGGAGATGTTTTTCTGCTGCTTTCGGTAATTGGATAAATCTTGCTTATTCTGTAGGATAATATGAAAGAAATGAAGGAAAATTGTGTGGCATACTTGTAATTGTTGGAATGATACTTTGAAGAAACATATACAAACAATTTGCAAGCGAATTTGTAAGAGTTGGATAAATTAGTGCTTATGCTTCTGTGTAAGAAATGCATTAATTGGGAAATTATTGAACACTCACAAATGTTGACAAAAAAATCAAAATTCCTTTTTAGAGTTGCAGCAAAGTTTAATAATTTTCGAACTCAGAGAGTTGCTATGTTTAACGTCAATTTCATTTTTTCCTGAAAAAGATCCTTTATTTTCATTTCTTTCACTGTGAATTTTGGATTTAGGAATGGAGTTAGAGTTGGATGGGGGCTAGAATATTATTTTCATTACATTGGTCACTTTATTGATATTCGTATGCAACTGCCATCTTATTGGTGTTAACTTCACTAAAATTGTTACTTAATATTCTGATGCCGAATATATAGAATTCAGAATGCTCATATAATAAAATATTCTGATTGAATGTAGTTAAGCATTTGTAATTTTCAGCTATAATATGCAGTTGCTCATATCGTCTTTTTTGTGTAGGAGATCTCGAAGTACGACAAGTTTAAAGACAACTACAACACAGAGATATTGCACACTTACAGCAAACTGTTTGGTAGCACTCGGGACTCCACGAAGTATGTTTTAACACCGACTAAACTTTCCCAATGCGGTCTTGATTCGAGCTTGGATAACAATGTAGAAGATCGTTACAACAATGTGCCAATCAATGCATAGACAACGGACTCGAGTGACGGGTGTGCGGACAGCAGAGTGCAATCCTCCATGAATATTTTTCCCAGCCGAAGTGGAGAGAAGCATAAAGGCATATCAAAGGGGAGGGAAAGAAGAAGAATTTTGGAGCGAGGGAGGGAGGTTTTTGAGTCTGTTGACAACTTGGCGATTGCGTCGAGGGAATTCGCCTCTGTCCTTTGATCTAGAGACAAAGGTGTGATGACAATTTCAGAGTGAGTGAAGGACTTGCTTTCGACAGGCCTCGTATAGAGTGGTGAAGAGCTTCATTTGTTTGTTTTGTGGTGGTTCCACGACAACGACAATCGTATTGCCTACAGTGCCTCTGAAACGTTGGAACTTAGGTTTGCCTGGGTTGAGTACTGCTTCAAACGCGACAAGGATGCGAACCGAGCAAAGCCGTTGAGGGCAAGACGCAAACTGTGATTCCATTTCGAGTTCTCGAAGTCTTTTTAGGTTGCATATGTGTTTTTATGTTCTCAATGTGTTTTTATGTTGTATATGTGGTCGATATTCGTATATGTTGTTAAACTTTCATTTGATTTTATTTGCTGATTTGTTGTTTGTTTCGAACGTTGAGAGATACCTTGTTTGATTTTAACACACGTTTTTCTTACATTATTTATGTTTCTTGAATGTGTTTTCTCCTCTCTATCAAGTACTATGAAGTTGAAAATGGATGGATTATACCAAAAAAATGCAGAGAATATATTCCCAAATTGGGTAGAGAATATATTCCCCAATTGCCCCTCTCTTTCAACATCAAGTACCAGTGTAATACTTGAAAGTGTGTGCATGCCAAGAATCATTAAATTATTTGTGTGTGTATAAAAGGCCCTAGGTAGATTCACGAATGGGGGGTAGTTGTGAGCTAGCACAGAATACACCAATTTCTAATTTGTTAAGGGAAGGTAGGGTAAGAAATCCATCAGCATTGCCATTATTATTTCTTTCTATCCCACATGCAATCTTTCTCACATTTTGATGGGCTGGCTGTGTCATCTTTTGTTCATGTAGATGAGTGACGAGTTCATTGAAAGTGCATAATCTGACATAGGCTGCAGCTTCGTTTCCATGTCCTGTTCCGAAGACGGGTCGGACGACGATGTACTGCAACAGCTGGATGAGATGTAGTGGCTTGGCTAGAATACTGTAGAATAGCTGAACACCTTGTACGCGAATATCTTTCACCGAACAGGGGCGCTCAGTACCTCTTTCCTACATCACATAGCTGTCATATTTTCATGCTACAGAATATGCATGTGTATCTACATACGTGTTTTCAGGAGTTTCGAATGTATCCCCCCATGATCAGGTAATTTACGCATACTCTTTGAGATCGGTACGGCTTGACATGCAGTGCGAACATAGATATATACGAACAAGTTGTTATGTTTCGGTGTATTTTAGCGTATGGGAAAGGCTATCGCCAAGTACATACACTATTTGGGCATTCGTTGCAAACCATTTCACATTACTTCGGGTGAGTGCTACGAGTCGTCGCACTAGCTGGCGATATTATTAAATCGCATCCCAACTACAACGAGGGGGCGATTCATCATTGCCCCAATTCTGCCCAATATCACCTGTTTCAGGTTAGGACGTGGTCATCATGTAACGATAATCAATTAACGTGAATCGTAGTCTAGAGACATGACTGCCAGTTTTGATACGAACTCTTATTGTGGGATTGCATTGTCGTGATTGACAACACACATGTTCGTGCTGTGCTGCCACTACATAAAAGGGCAGCTTCATTGGCAGGAAAGGTTTCCCAACGCAAAATGTGCTCGCTGCTTGTGATTTCAACTTGTGCTTTACGTTGTAATGTTGGGACAACATGAAGCGTGCACGACAGCTGAATTTTGGCTCGATGTGTCCATAGCCCTGATGTAAATTTCTCAGAACCAAGAAATGGGAAATACTACTTTGTCGACTCGGGTTTCGCACATCGTCAGGGATACATGGCTTCGTACAAAGGATCCAATGTACGGTATCACTTTCAAGAATTTCGGAACAACAATGGAGATCGACGATGTTTTCGGAATGCACGTGAGAGG